AAAGGAGAATCTGAAATTATTTCAAGTTCAATCCTCGCACACTAAATCGATACGAACCAGCAAGTTGACGCGAAAGAGGCATTTCAAGTCATATACCAGGCACCGACACACTACTCAAAGCGCCTGCGCAAACGGGTGCTCACCACAACCGAAGCAGTGGAAATCCGTTAAGCAAAGCCCACTGCCTGCTTTTGGTAACGCTGCGGGCATTTACTGTAATTTTATTTGGCACGTGAAAGCTATCTGGAAAAAACAGGCACTCGGGTATAACAAATAAGGAGTATCCTTCAAGTAAATTACCATAACTTCATTCCGAATGAGATGCTTATGTAGTCGTCTTAACAACATCACAGGGATATATTAAGTCATCCAAGAAAAAGGAATACGGTGGTTTCTGTACGTATTTTGTCGATCTAATTAGTTCACTTCTGTTATCCTTGATCCGACTCACTGTCCGGTTCGTGAACGGCGAGGAGGTTAAGCGAGCATTCCACTTGCCACAAACCGTCGGGGTATAAAGTGTTAGTTAGACGTCCGTATTCGGTATCTGTCGATGAAGTAGGAAGAGTGTAGTACCTCCTTCTGTGGCTGTCCGAAGTAAGATAAGCCTAGCAGCTGTATGACGGTTACCGCCCCAACCGGTCTGTTAAGCTAAATGAGGTTATCCGGTGTTGTGCGTCCCAACATCCGGCAATTTCCCCCTTCTTCCATTATTTTTTCATCCCTCCTTTTCCCACCCACTTCGAAAAATCCGCGGAGAATATGACCTACAATCCAATGGGCGGCCCAGACTAACTCGAGTCGCTTTCCAACTAAACAAATCCATGGCCCATTGTGAATTTCAGAAACCGCCTGGAATGTCCTAGCACCCCTATTTTGGAACAACCTTACTAACTTCCTCACAGCGGATGGGAGCTGAAATATGCCTTAAAAAATTTTGGAAGCACGTCAGTTGCATGCCGACTATGGCTTCGAGATTTATTATTCATGGCTGAACAAGTCAGCAAACAAAATCCTCATTTCCAAACCTTCCGCTCCACCACACCGAGTGTTAGAATGACTGCGCTCGCTCTTATGGTATATAATGGTCATTTGATGTTATACAAACAGCAGAGCAGCCAGGCAAAAAGGAGGACTGTAATAAACCTTCAAAAATGCCACTTCATGTGGTAGAATCACTGACTTCGGTAAGACCTACTTCTTCGAACAAGGACAACTGCAGGAGATAGGTGCTTGCTACATATTATTCTGGAACGGTCACCCAAAGGTGGAGACAGATAGGTCGCTTGAAGGAACACTGACCATAAATTGCTGCCATGGTATGACACTGAACTTTTCAGAGTTACAACAAATGTTGACAGTTGAAAGTAGACCGACACAACAACTGTTGAGACCAAGGCTGTCTACCTTTCCATTGTAGATTATTTTTAACCTCTCACACTCTTCAATAATTCAACAATCGGTCAAATTTTTACCGGTTTTTGGAGAAGCTCTAATGTAAACAATCTACGGCGGTAATGATAAAGGGTTAT